GGGAAAGATGGCAATAAAACTTCTGAGACTGTCTCCCACTTCCAAGAATGTTAGAAGTGGTTCTTAGATTTTCATAGTCAATGTCTATAAGTGCATTTGCATCTCCTAATTTAGCACTGAATATTCTATACAGTCGTGTCCCAGACTCCCAGTCAGAAAAGTCAGAACAATTATAACTCTTCTATTCATACTTAGGCTTAATTAAGTTTAAATACAGAAGTGTTTAAAAGAACAATCCATATCTTGTTTAACTGTATTAATATGTCACTTTGCTTGTTTAGTTCTTGACCATTCTTATTTTTTTAGTGGAATGGAATACTGATCAAGAAACTGAATGTAGATATGGACTCCAAACGTTGTGACTCTGTGGGAGGCCTTGTTGACAGTACTGCAGTATGGATTACTATTGACTCATGCATATGCCCAAGACAAACGTTGGCCCTATATTTCTCTACCTATGTATGTGTTTCTACTAGCTTCTTTTTATTATATTCAACTAAGAAGATTAAAAATTCTTCATCCTCTTGAATCTTGATCTTTCTAGTTTGATGCCTTGTTTTTTATTTGAAGTGCAAGAGATGAGAGGCCCGAGGATTGGGTGCCAGAAGAGACTCCTTATTTTCTACAGGAAGCCCAGGAAAAGGTGGGTTGCTCTGAGATAAAGCACGTTAATGAAGAAAATAGGGACACTGTTGATATTTTTTCCATTCATTCAGAAAACCCCACAGGTTGTTGTCCCACCTTAATGTGGTGAAATTTGGCTTGACTTAGAATAACGGTTTCTTCTCCTGAAACAATTTACTCGGCATTAGAAACATCCTGAAATGTCACAACCATTTTGTGTCAATTTTCTAATTTGCAGATCCATTGTATGTCAGAGTGCCTCGGATAGATGATGACGCTAAAATTTTGAACAAAGCTACGGAAACAATGTTGGAGGATACCCACTTGTTTACAATTTGGAGACAGCAATTTGTGGATGCACTGAGGGTACTTGATTTTATGTTGCAACTTGCAAGTGTATCTTAAGGTTAAATGCTGATATCTCAGATTCAGGAATAACAACATCTACAACCAAGCCTTACATTATCAAACTGACATTGTTGAGCTCTTCAAAATCCAAATTTTTCATAAAACTATTTAGAGAAAGATCTTATCACAGATTCATGAACATTGTTAGTAATACTGTTATTGACTCACTGATTCAGTTAATCGTGTAATTTAGTGGCTTTATGGATATGAAGACTTGGATATTGTCCTGTTCTGATAAGTGTATTCTTATCTATTCAAGCTGAATTTCACTAGGCAAATCCCTGTTGTTACTTTATGTAGTCATAAAATTTTAACAATAATTTAAACCCTGCCCTTATTGTTGAAGTTAGGACTTGGATAGAATGTTGATTCATGCATTGCATAAAATATTGTGAACAATAATGTACTAATAAATAATTCTTATGTAGAATTCTAACAATATATTATCAATTTCTGAAGACCAGTCTGTAATTTCTTCAACAGTTGGAGATCCCAGAATCAAAAAAATTCAGAAATGTATATCTTCACATAGCTCGTATTTTCTGGCAACTGCTGCTTTTACCATGGAGATATCTGTTTGCTTTTGTTCCTCCATACCAAATTGCTCATGGTTGGATCTCCTTCATTTGCTCTCTGATTTTCATCAGTGGGATAGCTTACATTGTGACTAAGATCACAGATCTTATAAGTTGTGTTACAGGTTTTATTTCTCACTCAATGATATTCCTTTCCTCTTCTTTACAGATTATAACAGATCCAAAGTAGCCTTTACCATTGTCAGTTCTGCATATCTAAGTTTGCTTTTTCGTTTTCTTTTTTCCCTCTTTGACAGGAATAAATGCTTACGTGATAGCATTTACAGCCCTAGCCAGTGGAACCTCATGGCCTGATCTAGTGGCAAGCAAGATTGCTGCCGAACGTCAAAAAACTGCAGATTCTGCAATTGCAAACATCACTTGCAGGTCTGCCATCTCAATAATCACCTCATTCTTACTTTTGAAAATGATCACATGTCATCATTACATCTTGATTTGCTTTAACACTTCTCTTGAAGAAGGATATTAGTAGTTGATAATATTCCTCTGGAATGCTTTAGATTTTTCACAATTTAGAACTTACCTTGATGGTTCTAAAATGATATTATAATCTCAAGTGTTTCAATCCCTAATTGGTGCAGTTACGTGTTTCTAGCATCTTATATGGTTTAAAATATAATTTGATATTGATAATGCTTTTAGTCCTAGATATAAATATTGTGGAGCTGGCTTATGGAAGATCATTGAAGTATGTATATGTCATGAAAGTGAAGATTGAAATGTTAATTGCACAAAAAGAATTGTCTTAAAGATGTCCTTTAATTCTTGAGAATTATAAACATACACAGGTGGAGTTATTTGTTTATTTATTTTCTGAGAATAATTTTAATTGAAAGGCTACAAGACTTATTGGACCTGAATTTTGTAATTGACAAGTTTTTATTTATGAGTACATTTTTTTAATGTAACAGGAATACTTGTTCCACCAAGTCAAATTTCAGAATTAAAAAAAATAAGTATTTATATTTATGACAGTTAGAAATAATTCAATATGTACGTGGAATACCCAATGATGCAGAGAATTCAGGTCCAGAGTTATTATACTTGGTCCAGGCGAAGTGAAGCCTTCCAGATATTAGGGAATCTTACATAATAATATAAAAATGCCAGTAATGCCTTCTAAATAACTAAAAATTTACTACGATTTCAGAATGAATGTAAGATGTTTTTTCTTTTTCATTTTGTATCCATCTGAATCCTGTGTTTATGAAGCATGGATGAAACTCTCGGTTGCTTTATGACTAGTCAAATCATTTTTGTTTTCATGAGGAAGCTTTACAAGGTTGGTTATTAACTTGGTTATTTACTCTTTTTGCAGTAATTCAGTGAATATATATGTTGGTATCGGTGTTCCATGGCTTATTGATACTTTGTACAACTTCATTGCATATAGAGAACCCCTCCGAATCCAAAATGCAGGGGGGCTAAGCTTTTCGTTGATCGTTTTCTTCTCCACTTCTGTTGGGTGTATCTCAGTTTTGGTTTTAAGGCGTATAATTTTTGGCGCAGAGCTAGGAGGGCCTAGGCTCTGGGCATGGATTACATGTGCGTTCTTCATGTTGTTGTGGATTATTTTTATTGTACTGTCTTCACTCAAGGTTTCCGGATTCATTTAGAATTGTGTCTAGGAAACATTTTTAGTCACTTTAATATTATTGTACAGACCCTTGGGCCTTGGCGATAGCCTTCGGTGCATTATGTCTCCACAGTGCCCTCACCGGTCATTATCATTCACCACTCAGCGTCTCGCCTACAGTCAAACTTCTTTGGTTTTTTTCTTCTATTTTTCTTTCTTTACATGTATTACATACTCATATTTCATGTTGGAATTTTCCTTTTTTAGATTTAGCTACATAAATGATGTTGTATTACTCTTGGTTATGCTTCCATCGAAGAATTGAGCTTATCACTCATGAGGAGCTTTACAAAAAATTGGTTTACTATCGGAGATTAAAGTTCTTCTCACCTTATTATGGTTCATAAACATAGACGCCATGCTCTCGCTGTTGCCGTCGGTGGCAACTATGCCAACATCCAGATGGGTGTTGAGGATAGCTTTGAAACCACTATGAAGTGCTTCTCCTCCCCAAGAACTGATTGAAGTGGTGATCGGTGTACTTTTTAAATTGAGTGTGAATTCCGACACTCGTGCGTAACAAACGCGCAAACAATGTTTGAAATTTTAAGCTCAAGTAAATTTATCGCATATGTTCTTTTATATTTTTATAATAATATCAAATCTTTTTATCACTTCAAATAAATCAAACTTTTGTTTTAACGCAACGACTTGAACTTGTTTTTAAGGAATTCCTCGGTCTATTTTCATAGTAAGAAATATATTAAGAAAAAAGCAAGATACTATTTAAAACGAGTCTAAGAAATTGAATTATTTAAAGTATGAGATGTATTTATGAAAATTTTTAGTTGTCAAAATAGAATAAAAAACTGAATTGAATTATTTAAAATAATAAAAATAACGCAAAATCATAAAAAAAAACGTGAAAATCATATAAAATAACGTTTTAATTAGAATATATCAATAGTGTAGATTCTTCTATATTATCATCTAACTACAAATCGAAATATTTGAAAATTTTAAATTTTGTAAAATTTTCGTTAAAACTTACTATCATATTTAACATAATTTCCGTTTAACAATTTATACTGAAAGAATGTCTATATATTCATAAGATAAATTTTACCAACTAACAAATGTTAGTTGAATTGGAATTGTCCTTAAATGACAATCCATCATGAAAACAGTGAAGCACCTATTATTAGAAAAACTAATTATTTCAAGTGTCTGTCAGTCTACTTTCTATAATGAAGAAATCTTTATATTTAAAATATGGCTAATTCTGTACTTTTATCAAAACTGTTATTACAATTGTTAACTTTTCTTGACAGAATTACAATTCTTATCTAATTACCTCTTTTTCTTTTATTCTTCATAACTGAAATAAAAATTAGAGAACTCATCCTGATATTATTAAAAATATAGATACCGCAGTAATTACATCCAATTTTTAAATTTCAAATTACTCCCATAATATAGTTATTGGGGGAGAGTCAGAGGCATGAATTTTGGACTGACATACTCAAAAGATGCCCGATGCAGACCAAATGCTACATTAAGAATGAATACCAACACTTGCCATCGAGAAAATAATGCAAAGCTTCCATATTGAAATAATGTATCTGCCAGTTACAACAGAACTTCAGAAGGGTGAACCAAAACTTGTTCATCCAGCACCCTACTGCCATGTCAGCGTAGGGAAGCAAACCACCCTGAAACAAACTTTCTTATGTCCACTAGATCTTCTAGCCTAGGCAAGTGCACCCGCACATGCAGTGGCTGGAGCAGCTTCCAACTGTTTCTTTGCAGAACTGTATTTTTTGGTTATAAACCTGACAAATAAAAAAAAGATGAAAATTTCATATATCATATCATACTATATATAACCCAAGTTCATTGCCAGAAACAGGTATCCATAAGTGTTTTGCCAACAAATAACACAACAATACATGATTTTACAATATTATCACTGTATGATAACAAAACGGGCAACAGAAGAAAGAGAAATCATTATCTTGTGATTTCAAAAAGCAAAACTTGGTAGTTATCACTTATCAGTCAAAAAGGAAACTTAAATCAGAATTATTAAGTTTTCCAAGATTTCAAGAAACATCAGGTTTTTTTACTTATAGGAAACGGGAATGAGATCCTTATAATTTTAAACTTGAAAAGACAAGTAAATCATTAAAAAAAATGTAAGTGAAATGACGAAATCAAGGTTTTGAATTGCAGTCATGTCATGGTTACGAATTCATTGTGATCCTCACTATTGTAGAACATTGCAGACAAATGTAGTAATGCAGTCACAAAGGCCCTACAAAGAAAAAAGTCAAAAACATTGACTGTAGCTAGAATTACAATCGTGGGCCATTTTTTAAAACCTTGGTAGATATATGTATCTACGGGTGTATTCCACAATGAACATATAAAAAAGAAGGTGGGTGCATTTGTTCGGGATTTGCCATATTTTGGGTAAACAATTACACCTATGTATTAGATGAGTTGTTTGCAACTTTCCCGTGTACATTACGAATTTCATCCTTTTGAAAAAAAAAAAGAGAGCAACATTATAACTATAATTACCAATCTCGGATAGCAATGCATAACGACTAACTCTAAAAACAACATAGTGGGAAACAGTTTGACCAGTATTTTAATATTATAATACAAACTAAATAATTTATAATAAAAATATATATGCTAAAAAACAAACAAAAACCCAAAATAAATAAAATTATGATAAAAAAAAAGTCACAGTTTACATACACAATCACCATCAATCTAGGAGCAATAAGAACATGGTAATGAAGTAAAAAAAATAAATAGAGATAACAGTGAAATTAATAGGAAAACAACATAACAAATTATATGAGAAAATTAGCAGAATGTGAACTGGGAAGTCTATAGGAAGTTCGGAACACTAGATGAAAAATACTCCTATAACGTGTGAAGGAATAGAAGTCAAAACAGAGGTAACTTTTCATGGAATATTTTACCTAAACAACCTGAAAGTGTTTCAGGCGTACAAATGGCAGCATCAATACAGGGTGCGAAAAAGCTGCAATTTTGATTGAAAACTGCTATGCTACTTTAATGCCATTGTGGCCCAAGGTGGCTTTGCTCCAGTATCCCACTATTGACTACTATATTCACAAGTTCTTAAGTAGAAAAGTTCCATATTATTGCAGAGGGAAAAGAAAAACAGTAGTATGATTCTCGAAAGAGAGTTACTTAAAACAACCACTTTCATCTCAAATTCTAACTTCCTGTTTGTGGGGGGTGGGGAACTTTCCCCAACTGGTGCACCATTGCCGCTCCTATATACCTCATGAAAAGAAAAATGTACACCACAGTTCCAAGCAAATTCAAAAGACATGCACAAATAACAGTTACCTAAAGAAGTCCCTCCACATCAACTCAAACATCAACCAATTTGATCCTGTTTTGGATGAACCATTACCACCATTATTCCCGTTCACCGAAGCAGAAACAGCTCTGTCAGTAAAACAATTCATCAGTGAGCATACACCTTAATGACACCAAAAACAATAAACAGAAGAACACATAGAAGCACACACCTGGTGGCAGTCTTCTTGAGCTCATCATACATTGTCCTAGGGGAGAGGCATCCCATTGCCAACCACGGCGAAATCTTGCAAGAGAAGTTAGCCCCATATATACTGTGTGTTCCATCCTTAGACCCCCTGTGTGGCTGAGCTTCACATTCAGCAGCAAACTTTTTAAGCCTCTGCAATGCCTCAGTCTCTCCTCCTATCATGGAAGCATTAGCAGCCACCTTCCCATCCTGAAAACAATGATGCACAACACTTGACACAAGAACACATGAATAGAAACAACAAATTAAGGGAATTAAAAAAATAAAAATAAAAATAAAAAACCTGTGGCATTGTGGCAGATGGGTTAAGGCCCAGGTCCATTAAGGAGGGAATATCCCCAGGCTGAACATCTCCGCGAGAGGGCATTCCCTTAAGCTGATCCAACGCCTCAATTGTCTTCCTAATCTCCAATTTCTGAACCCTATCCCTAAACCCTCCGTAATTGGAAGGCATGTCCTCCAGCTTAAAAGGCAAATCCTCCACGTGATACAATGTGCTTCCCCAGAAGTACTTCACCTCCACATTCTCCTCCTTCATCGCCGCCTCCACCCTCTCCTCCGCCTTCACCTCGTCGTGCGACACCTCCCGGTGCGCGTACACGGCGTCGGCGCCGACGGCCTTCGCCAGCTCCACCAGCACGGTCTCCGGTTTCCCGACCCTGACGACGAGATCAGAGCCGCGCGCCTGGAGATTGCGGCGGAGGTCGGAGACGGAGTCGATGAGGAAGGAGGCGCGGTAGGGGCCGGTCTTGTCGAAGCCGGAGGAGGACTTGCCGTAGTCGGCGGGGTCGAAGCAGTAGACGGGGAGAACGGAGAGGGACTCGTTGTTGGCGGTTGTGAGGGACTCGTTGTCGAGGAGGCGGAGGTCGTTGCGGAACCAGACGATGGCGGCGCGGCGGAGGGCGGCGGCGTTGGATGGGTCGCGGGGGCGGTGGGGGCCGAGGGAGAGAGGGGCGTGGAGGGGGTTGGCGGAGAGGGTGGATTTGAAGGAGGGTTTGGAGGGATTGGGATTGGGAGTGGTTGCAGTGAGGGAGAGGTGTGTGAGGGATGAGGCTTGGGTTGGGAGCTTGACCTTGTTGGGTTGCGGAGCGGTTGGGATCTTGGGTTGGAGGAATGGCGGAATGGTGGAGAGAGAGAGTGTGGCTACTGCCAGTGGTGGCTTCTCTGCTGCTCTTTCCATTCTCTCTTCTGCTCGCCTTATCTTCCACTGCTTATGTTGTTCCTATCCTATGTCTCTTCTCTTCTCTCTCACTCTCTCTGTCTCTGGCTTGGATGGATTATACCATTATCGCACCTTTTTATATCTTTTTTTTTCAAATTATCAACCCTTTTCGCCTTACTATTACTAAATCATTTTTATTATTTTAAAACCGGAATCAATTGCCACTGCCTACTGGTACTGGTACTGGTAATTCCATCCACTACTTTCTAATATTTTAGTCTTTGGAGGCCAGCCACCAACACCTCCCACCTAACCTTTTTTTTCTTTTTTTCCTGCTTGCATTTCAACCTTTTTTAGCGTTAGGTTCGGTTTACTCACTCCACAGTCCACAATAAGGGATGTTTTGTACGCTTATCTTTTGTTTTCATTTTCATTAATGGTCAAAAACATATTTATTTAAGATTTAGAAAATATTTTCTTTAGAAACAATTTTAAATTGAAAGAAAAAAAAATAATATTTTCAATATTTTTCAACAAAATGAAAATGCAATGGCATGACTTAGAACTATAAAACATTTATTATTTTTTATTTTTTTGAATCTTATCATTCTATTGTCTCTTTACTAGTAGTGGTAGTGGTTGTCGTGGCAACAATAGTTGTAGTGATGGTGATAATGTTATTATTGTCACCATCGTCAGCGGCGGAACATCAATAAGAAATTTGAGGGTGCCAAATTAATTTTTTTTATATATAAATTAAATTTTTTATTAATTAAAAATAACAAATTTTTTTATTTTCTCTACTCAAATTAAATATGCATAATAATAAAATTCAAAAATAAAATATTATCATTCACTAACTATAATAATCATAAAATAAATATATATATATATATGAATATATATAAAAAAATTATTTTAAAAAAAGTTTGGGGGAGCCACGGCTCCCCCCTATCCCTTAAAAGGTCTGCCACTGATCGTTACTATTATTATTATCATCGTTATTATTATTTCCATTATTATTATCATCACCACAACAATAGTCTTGATGACAATGATGGTAGTATCGCAACTATTGTCACGACCACCAACATCATTATCACTGTTGTTATATTGTTGTTGTCTTCACTTCTATTGTAATGACCCATTATTGGTCCTTACACTAGACAACATATCTACTAGCAACGAAACATCTACTAACTTAAGATTATATACCTAGAGATATGAGAATATATATTATATCACATGTATATAAAGATAAAAACAACTACATAAGTAGGTGCAATATAAGTATAGTAATTTTGTACATGAAAACTATACAACTTAAGTTATCAGTCAAGCTACAGATACAATCTATACAAGAACCACTCTTAAGGTAGTCATAAAAAAATCTAGTTCCAACACCACTGAATGACCTCCACTACATAACTCCAAACCTATCATTGTACTACTCTTATACCACATATGACCACCATAGTCTAAATCACATGGAAACACACAAGAAAAAACTAGAATTTTAAAGAATATCTACATATATATACAACATATAGTATCACAATACAGCCAACATATATCACGGGAAAATCATTCTACTACAACACAATACCAACTCGACCATCATAACATTAAAAACTCAATATTCATCACAACAACATCGTAACTACATGCATCGTCGCACATTTCAACTAAAAGATCTCCTACAACACATGCTGAACAATTTAAGTGATTTGATCTTATTGAACTAACAACACAGGGTGATCTTTTTAGCTTACTAAATCAACAACAAATTGGATATTAATCCACAACACAACAACTTGATTTCTTGAATGTCGTCACTTAAGGAAGTCTAGTACTACTATTAGGATAGAATAGCTAGGTATGAGTCTACCATGACATTAACTAGCTTAATTAAGTCTCCTATGGGATTAACCCACTAACTAACCTCTAAATACTACATCCTTTTGATACTTGATTAGGAGCTAGGTTTTTGACTTTGTATTTTACTCGATTGATCACTTATAATTAGTATAATTCAACCTTACCCTTATACTGTAGCTACTTTATACATGTGTGTCTCGACCTTACCCACACAGAGTATCAACTAAGTCCTAAAGAAGATTCAACATAGTTATCCACTTCAAAGGTCAACTTCCTAAGAAGGGTTTTCAAAAAGTTTGGGCTCTTGGAACACCATAACACAATATCCACACAATGGGATATATAATTTTTTAAAATCTCTCCTCTTGTTCTAGGATGGTCATCATAACTCAACAACACCATGTCTAAATGTCCAAAGCATTCTCAACATTCATCACCTCAAACAACACAACCACTTCTTGCATATTCAACACAATTATGTAACCAACACACACCTTTACAACCCACAACACACATCTCAACTCACATTCAACTTCTTTATCGTCATTCATCTCAAAACATCATCATATATAGAATAAACAATGCTTAACAACTTTAATACATGCAACATATACATTTATTCATCTCTTATTCAACAATTCATTAATACTTCAACATATTTTTCTTTAGCAACCAACACCCAGTGCCACTCACCCAATGCTCGACGTCATCCAGATAGGGAACTCTCTATCTTGCTCATGCTTGACGCTACACAATCCGTGCCCAACATGAATAAGGCATAAGCCCTTAAGGCCTCGCACTTGGTGTGGCAAGGTACCACGCTCGACCCCATCTCAAGCAAGGAGTCTCTGCCTGACTCACGTTCGACGTCACCATACCAACACTCATTGTCATTCAGGTAGAGAGTCCTAACTTGGCCACATTGGGTGCCAATCAACTTTGGGCCCAATGTCACCAAGTCAGAGACCACCCAATATTCTCACACCTAACACCATATCAACTCGAAATGAATCTCTCTCCTTATGTCTAACACCATCAATCCTGCACCTAGTGTGATCTAGACAAAGAGCTTCAAGTTGGATCGATGCCCAACGCGATATCAGAATTCCACATGTGCATAATCGATTTTGACCCAAAATCAGAAGCTCGACAAAGGTCAAACACATATAACATCAAAAAATAGTTATACACATCATAAAGAGTCATTGAGACAATAGTCAAATTAGTGAAAAGACATATTTAATAATTTTTTATAAAATATAAATTTAATCGATGATTTAATTGTTGTATTGGTAATATATTATTAATTAGATCAAATATACAAAATTATATATAATTATAAAATTATTTAATAATTTATTATATCATTTTATTTTAATGTATAAAATGATAATTAAAATGCATGTAAATAGATATTATTATATAATACATTTAAGAGAGTTCAAATTATTTAAAATTTTATATGTATAATTACAAATGTAATATTGTAAAATACAACAGTTGAATCGGTTGAAATTTGGATTCTATAATAAATTATTAAAGATGTAATGCCAACAAATCTTGGCCAAAATTATATATATATATGAATGAAAGATTTTAATTATTATTATTTATTAATTCCGATCCTTTCACAACTTTACTAATCAAATTAACAAGGAGGCTATTCTCGCCGGTTGCCACCGCTTCTTTCATTTAAATCTAAGGACCTACAAACACATATAACATCAAAAAATAGTTATACACATCGATTTTTAATCATGAACCCAAAACATCAACACTCACCACAACCCATTCAAATTTTATCAACACAACCATGAATCTCAAGGGATTTCATACAATATAAAACTCAATCATCACTACACAACTCATCTACACATTCGAAAAGTATTAGGTCCAGCTTCCCTTACCTTAGATTCAAAGCTAACAAAGGAAGAAAAAGAGAACTTGAGGCTTCGCACTACCACACCAAAATGAATTGAATAGTTGGATTCAAGTCTCTAAGCACCTGAATTCACCAACAAGACGCACAATGAGAATTAGAGGATAAGATTTAGAGAAAAAAGTTTATGAGATTCTATTCAAAACAAAAACCTTATATGCTCTTTTTCTTAGGGTCAAACTAGCTTTCTGTTCAAAGAAACTCCCAACACTACTAAAACTCTTAAAGGATCCTCAAACCCTAGAGTCTTTCAACATTGAATAATAGTCCGACTTAACAACATGAAATAATTTAAAATAATTATAATCATAAAACTTTACAACTTACAATGTTTCAACTATTCTCACCGTCACATTATGGTCGTGGCGAAGTTGGTGGTAGCAACACCATCATTACCGTTGTCACCATCATTATCACCATTATCATCATCACCTCCTTCAACACCACATCCTTCATCATCACCACAATGGTCATGGTGGCGGTGATGCCACCATCATCACCATTATCATTAGGGGTGAAAAAGATCCAACCTATCTACAGACTTAACCCAACCCCTTATTGATTTGAATAGGATTAGGTCTTAAAATTAGACTCGATATAATTTTAAGGATGAGTTCAAGTAGTCTCAACTCATCCTTCATTCTTTTGAAATGTATAAGTTCTTAGAATAATTATGTATTAATAATAAAACTTATTTTAATAGACAATACTTTGTATAATATTATATTATAATTATAATAAAATTATTTATTTTAAAATACATATAGTAAAATATACCTTAATTTAAGATTTGTATATCTTTTATTTCATAATTTAATTATACATATGTTAATATTGATATACTCAATTAAAATATTAGATTGATCTGGTCCTATCTCATGTATTTTAAGTCTTGATTAGGTCATGTACAAGTTTAAATAAATAACTTGGTCGATTTTTTAGACTAAGTAAGGAAAAGGCTAAACATGTCTCAACTCGTCCTTTGCTCACCCATATTTTTTGTTGTCACTATTGTCATTGTCTCCATCATCATCGTCATTGCTACCATAATTGTTATGGCAGCAATGGTGACAATTGCAATGGTGGACATGACATCATCATTATCACCACTATCACCATTACCATCAATATTGTTGTTACTATTGTTATCTTCCCTACCACCCTTATCACGACCAAAATGGTTGTGTTGATAGTCATGGCTATGATACTACCATTGTCATTATCGTCATCATCATTACTATTATTATTATTGTCACATTCATTACAATTGTTGTCTCTACTACATGGTGGCAATAATGATGGTTATAGCAACAACACGCAGTGATGGTGGTATAATGTTGACAATGATGCTATCATCACCATCACAATCACACAATCATTACTCTTACTACTACCGTTTTCATCATTATTGTTGATGTTGTTATTATCATTACAGATAAAAAATAATTTCTCA